AAGATGCGAGTATAAAACGAAGGTTTTCCCCCATAGGCAATGTAGGCCAATGGTATAAGAATTGAACCCAAAGACCTCTTAGCTCTTGAGAGAGTACATAAAAACAAAGCTTTATCAAGATTTACGAAACAAACTAAAACGAATTCATGAATTTTGCCAAGAACTAATCTACAGCCTGCTTACTAACAATTCAATCTATATAAACACAGATAAATGATCTGGACTCGCAACAAATATGTAAATGTTCCTCAACGTGCCTTTTATAGGAAAATAAAAGAATAATTAACAAGAATTTCCCAATAAATTGAGTCCAAGCCACGAACATAATTTCACAACCAACCTGATCCATGTCAAAAGACACTCCCAACTTCTTGAAGCAAGAAATCACTGCCTTAGCTGTTCCAGAGGTGTCCAATTTGCTTGATTGGTGGGACTCCATCACCTATACTTTATAAACAAATTCATCAGTGCCTCTGTGAGCAAATCCAAACGTGAACTGAAAGCACTAATAACTTACTATACTATGTCTACAATAAAAATTCGGAATCATTAGGTCAAGAGTAAATCAATAGAGTGTTGCAATATTAATAATTAACCCAAATTCATTGCACTCGAGTAAATGTTCATCAACTAATGCAAACCACCAGACCAAACCACAGCAACAACATATACTGATTCTCAAGCTATTTCAAGCACTTAAGAAAGCAGCATAACATCCGGTCTTCCACTACAACTCAGTGCACCAGAATAGACATCAACGATGCACCCATTCAAACTGGAAAAAATGAGGAGAAGTAGGCAGGGGGTAAAACCACACTATGGCATTTTAAAGATCGAAGATGGCCCTCAATCGCTCAGAAAGATAGAGTTTAAGAAAAGGGTAACTACAGAAAAGCCCGAGGGACTCAAATTGCCACAGGTTCCAGCTCTCATGCTTCCTGAGATACTGATATAAGAAGCCTATTTCTCACCTAACAAAAAATCTTTTTTCTCTTATTTGTTCCCTCAAACTTCAGTGAAGATAGTGGTTCAGTGTATGGGCACCCGAACTCCTATCTCATTCCCTATTCTGGTTAGTGGGTCGCTTCACAACAACTGGCAGAGTACTCGACCATCATTCAGCTTGATAACTAAGCAAATGAAACATGACGAGTTAAATGATAACAGGTAAAATACGACAAATCTAATTGAGGATAGGAACTGAATAAAGATAAGCTCACAGGATAGAATCAGACCTATATTGGTAAGATTAACAGTATCTAATCTGCCGTGAAACCCACATCGGCTTAGCACAACATAAATGAGTCACCTATAACCTCACTTGGCCACCGTCTTTTTTCTGCTTTGCGATTTAGGTAGTGTGTTGTTTGTATCATTGTGTTTATATTTTATCTTTGCGTTGATATAATACAGAAAATAAAGAGATCAACAGCACCTAATTGACAAATTTAGGATAAAACTCACAGAACTTCCATTCTCACATCCTTTTTTTTTTACATGCACAGTCAATCTTACAACCAATGCTCTATCAAAAGTATCTAATCAAACATCGGTGAGAATATCTAATTTTAACATCAGCTATATGTGCACTTAAACATCCATAAAATCATTAAACAAGACCCGGTTAAAGGGATGAACTACACAAGACAGAGAGCAAAGTGAGGAGCAGAATAGGAGAAAGCAGATGCAGAAGAGCAAGGACTGAGCACCTTTAGAGAATACCCAGAGAAGGCTCCTGGAAATTGCTCTGCCATAATTTCCATTGCTGCAAGAAATGCCACAACCTACCAAAAGCTAGAGAATAATTAGGACAAAATAAGAAAGCACAGAGATGGCTAAAACTGAACAAGGACCTTGGGTTCTGTTACCTGTTTCCCCATTTGTGGGGAAATTACTGCATATAAATTTGAATCTCGGACTGTTTTGTAAAGCTGATCCCTGTCCCCTCCAGTAGTTCCCATGACAAATGGAACTCCAACATTGCAATACAGCTCGGCGTTACCTTCATAATAGAAGTAATAAGAATTTAATTTAACTTATCAAGCGAACAGTACATAATCTCTTAAAGATGTGTCACTTACTGTTCACTGCATCAGGCACAGTGTAGTCGACCACAATCATATTCGGGTGTTCACGAAAGACCGAGGCCAGAACGCTTTCTCTATCTGAAGGTCCATGCACCTTAATCTCTTTTCCACACACCTCTACGGATTTTCCAGCCTCTTCGGCACAGCCAAATGACATGGGGATAATATCGAGCCCTGCAGATTCAGCTGCTTTTATAACAGCCTTCCCCATTTTGCCCGAACTACTGTTCACCTGCAGCAACAGCAAAGATGCGATGCATCCATCGACTAAGCCAAAAATAAAAATGGCCAGGAAAAGATTGAATATTGTATTGAGATGTTTCAGTAACTTAGGACGAAAGCACACATTACCCAAAATTTACATATATTTCAATGCTAAAACCAAGCAATTGCAACTTCTCAATGCCCAAATACGGTTTCCACCAAGCAGAATTAGGCAAAAGAAAGCATTTTGCGCACTTCAAACAAGACGACTCCATCACATTTGTCTCACACCACCACCAACAAAAAGGAAAGCCATTTCATCAAACACTACGCGGGCAAAAGTGTCATTACCATGATGGGTATGTCTAATTTCTTAGAAGCTCGGACTTGGAGGTCCATCTGAGGGATGGGCGAGGCCGACATGGTCACCGCGGCGCATCGTTCGCGAAGAAGCGAAAGGCCGCGCCTTGTGCGTTGTCTCGGCGATAGAGAAGCGAGTGGAGCTGCTTCTGCTCCGCACAAGCTGTTCCTGGCTGGGAGCACGACTCGCGTGGACGCCATCGCCATCGGTGGAGGCAGAAGACGGGAACAATCAGAGAGCAGCTGCGAACTTGGAATTCTCTACCGGGGAGGAGAGGAGACGGTGAAGTGGGAGACGCGACTTCGAGCTTTTGAGCTGAGAGGTTCAGGGTTTTGATCATTTTTGTGGTTTTTTTCTAAGCATTTGACCAAAAAAAAAAGTATTTCATATATACATACATATATATATTAAGTTTATAAAAGAATGTTTAAAGATTCAAATTAGTTTAAGGAAAGTCCAAAGTTGTTGCATGATAGAAAGATTGAAATTCAGATTCGGAATATAAGAAATTTGTAAGATTAGTTGACAAGCATATTGGTTATTTGAATATAGTTTCACCCATATGATTGTAATTTGTTGTAATATGTTTTATCTTCTCTAAGGACGTGGGCTCTCATGGAAATCCTGGGTCAAATTTTGAGGTTGAAATGAGTCGTTGGGTACAAATTATTATGAAGTAGAGGAAATTACACAAATCCTCATGAATCAAAAATTTTACAATATAGCACTAAATTGCCCTTTATCAAATTCTTTGCGCGTTGATTGTTACGATGGAGTATATTATTTACTTCTAACAAACTTAGGTCTATACCCTACTAAACCAACAATTCAAGATGTAGATCTAAAAAGCTACTTAAATCTCAGTATTAAAAGGAGCTCGTACTCCTGCAAAGGTTTTGTGCACTAAAGATCATTCGGGCTCCTTTACAGTGCACTTGATGTACCGTATGACTTCACACGAAGCGCCATCTTAATTAAATACAAAATCGTCCCAACAAGTTGTAAGTTGATTCGTAACGTTATGATAGTCTTGTCGTAAAATATGATCGAATCCTACTCATCTAACGAGAAAACGATGACAGTTATGGCAATCTATCCACATCACACGTTAGATTACAAACACGAAGTTCCATGTTAGAGCTGCACACTAGTTTGAGAACATTTCGTGCATTATCCTTCTTTCTCTTGTAACATTCACTTCTTCCTTACAAAAAAACTAGAGAGAGAGAGGACCAAAGCTGGTAAGAAATCATAATCTAATCCAACGATGGCAAAGGTGCGGAGAATGCTAAGGCTGCGCATGACAACGATTCTGTGCCCGGAAACAGATTCTGCTCAGAAGTGATTCTTTTTTATTCTGTGCCCGGAATTGATTCTGAGCATTTTAAGGCGTTTGTTAACGGTCCAAAATTCCATCCCTGGAATAGAAAAAGAACAGAAATGCATTTGGTAACGCCACAAAATTTCTTTTTATTAATAATATTTTTAAATATTTTAATATTTCTTTTTTTTTCTTTTTTTTTTCTTTTCCTCCTTCTTGGCCATGGCCTGCTCGCCGGCCATGACCGGTAAAATATTTTTTTATTAATAATATTTTTATTAAAAGTATTTTTTCTTTTTTTTTGCCATGGCCTGGTCGCCGGTCATGATCGGTAAAATATTTTTTTATTAATAATATTTTTATTAAAAATATATATTTTATTTTTTTTTGCCATGGCCGGTAAAATATTTTTTTTATTAATAATATTTTTTATTAAAATATTTTTATTTTTTTTTGCCATGACAGGTAAAATATTTTTTTTATTAATAACATTTTTCATTAAAATATTTTTATTAAAAATATACATTTTTATTTTTTTGGGCCATGGCCGGTAAAATATTTTTTTTATTAATAATATTTTTTATTAAAATATTTTTATTAAATATATATATTTTTTTTTTGCCATGGCTTGGTCGCCGGCCATGGCTGGTAAAATATTTTAACTTATTAAAAATATATTTTTTTCTTTTTTTTTTGCCATAGCCTGGTCGCCGGCCATGACTGGTAAAATATTTTTTATTAAAATATTTTATTCTCATCAGATCCGGCGAGGGCGGTCCTCGGGCCGGACATTAGAAGCTACATTAAAAACCAAGAAAAGGAAGAAGAAAAAAAAATTGATTCTCAAAATTGTTCCCAGAATCAAGAAACTACTTTTTTTTTATTCTTGAAAACTGATTATGGGAACAATTTTTGACAAAATTGTGCCCAGAATCAAAATATTAAACAAACGCATTTCTGTTCTCAAACTGATTCTGGAAACAAAAGAACAGAATCAAACACTGCTTGGCAAATTGTTATGCGCAGCCTAAGAGACTGAAGCCTTTATAAAGTCAAATGAATTCATTATTCGAACAGTAACAAAAAGGCATTGAAGAGGGAAAAGAAAATGAGGATGAGAGAACAACCATTGTGTGCTCTTCAAAGATCTGCATTTCTGCTAAGCATCTTTCCCGTCATCGGGGTGGTCCGAACAGAAAGTTGGTAGACAAAATCTGCAATGGAGGTAAGTTTGGAAGTAATCGAAACTGGGTCCTCAATGATTTGGTGGAGAGGACAGAGGACCAAGGTTACATTTACTACGATGCATATCCAGGTGATGGTCCGACCTGCTATGGCCATGCAGCGTGCAATGGAGGTCTCTCGCATGCAGATTGCACTTCGTGTCTGACCTCTGCCACTGATAAAACAACCACCGAATGCTTTGATAGGATTGGGGTGAAGTTCCCACTTCAAGATTGTAGAATAAGGTTTGAACACTACAAATTTACTGAATAAATAAGCTTGCCACCTTCGATATGTATCCTTGTACACACAATGTGATTGATTGCTTGAGCAGAAATTGTTGGATAAAACTAGTCATTTAATCTGAGATTCGAATCATCTGAACTCAGGGGTATCATCAATATTCCAGGTGAATCATTCAACATCTTCATCGTTTAAATTCTTCCGCTAACTTGGTTAAGAAATTCATCACCCATATAGACACAAATCTATCTCATCCACTGAGAGCTACCCCCGAAGGACAGCTCAATCGTTCATGAGTTTCAAACGACGAAAAACCAAACCTCTTTTTTCCGTTTAACACCCCACCCCCCGAGAAACAAAATGTACGAGGCAATGCTTACATCAGATCAATATTCGTTGTCATTCAGATGTTGAAAGAGCTGAATGCAACACGTCTTCAAGATATTTCTCAGCTGCAGCATACTGCCTTTTCTTGTCCTCAATTGCTAAAGCAGCTAAAGCCTTGTCCTGCAAGAAGATAACACATAAGGAGGAGCATAATTCAGACATAAGACAGACCTCAATACAGGTAAAGTGGTCAACATTTGCAGTGTTGAGCTTGAGTTGATATTAGGCAAAAGAAAAGGAAAAATTACCGGAGGCAAGTCTTGGTAACTTCTCAAAGTATCAAGAATGGGCTTTGTTTTCTTCTCTAGTTCCTTTCGGTGTTCAGCCATCTCCACCAGTACACTATGGCTGATCTCTGGAGTGTATCCTACCCGATTTAGTGCCGTCTGTATAGAATTCGCCAAATGATCAAAGAGGGAAAAAACTTATAACATGAATTTCTAGGGATTCATGTAGCATCCAGATAGCAGCCTGTTCAACTCAAGATGCATACACTTGATAATAGTGGTGAGCAAGATGGACAGCCCAAACCGGGACCGGACCGGACCGGACCGAACCGACCGGTTTGGTCCGGTTCTCAGGAATATCGGTCCGGTTCCCGGTTCCTAAAAGTGGAACCGGTTTCGGGGCAGTTCGGTTCCTGGTTCTAGGATGGGAACCGGACCGGACCGGATCGATAAATATATATTTTTCTAATTTTTTCATATATATAATACATAATATATATGAAAAATATTTAATATTGGTCCCATTGGAACCGATTGTTCAATTTTTTCATATATTATATATATTTTTCCAATTTTTTCCATGGCCTTATGAGATCAAATCAGAACTACAAAGAAAAAAACGGAACAATCGGTTCCCAGTTCACAAATAATATTTAATATTGGTCCCATTGGAACTAGACCGGACCAGACCGGACTGATGGTCCGGTCCAGTGCCCGGTCCTAGAAACTAGGAACCGGTCCTCCCGGTCCAGTTCCCGGTTTTTGGGTTGGACCAAACCGGACCGAAAAGAGAACCGCTCACCCCTACTTGATAATATCAAAATTTAGCTCCAAAGAAACTTCATAATCACCTAACAGTGCTACCCGAATACAATGAGAAGGACAATGCAAATGTTAAATTCTCTGGCTTTGTTATTAGACTGAAAACTTAATTTCACTGTGGATCTCAGAACGCCAATAAGCAAAGGAATGGTACCTTGTAGTTGGCATACTGCTGCGTGTATTGTCGCTCCTTTGAAGCCATCACAGCCAAATTAGTTTTCCAATTTTCCACCTGAGCCTCACAGGGAGCTACATCGTCTTCAAGCTGTGCAAGTGTCCTGTCCAGACATTTTGCCAGGATATTGTTAAGAAAGCATGAGCATGCAATTTTAATCCAAACACACCGCAGGAGCATGTTAAGGAAAAAAACGACAGAGACCCATCAGCCACAAATTACTCAGCATCACAAAGTGCATACATTGTTGCATCTCCCGTTACTCATGAAGTCACAAACTTCCCACAGCATACATATCACAATTCCTGCGGAGAACAGGTAACTTCTACATTGGCTTTTACCTTTTCAAATAGGTTAGTCTTGCTATTGCCTTCCTGGTGTAATCAAGGAGAACCTTCGAATCCTTCTCCACTTTAGCCCTCTTCTCCTCCACACTAGACTTTCGCAAAGAAATGTCCCCCATCGCTACAAGAAAGCTGCAACTTCCACATATGAATCATACAAACCAGAAGGACATCATTCAAGGATAACAAAACTAATACAGGAAGCCCTCTCACCTACTCAGTTCAGTATCCCTAATATTCAACAAATTGGCGACATTGGCCAGTGCTTGAGCAGAGGCCACAATGTTTGAAGCCAAACTCTCTTGTGCCAACCCTGCACTTTCCAGTATCTCTCTAATCCTAGCAGCTGCATCCACAAAACTTCAAAAAATGACCAAACCCTTCAAAAATTTCTAATACTATGCCTCAATTTAAAAACCCATATGAAGTATTACCCCTACAGAACAACCATTGCTCTCACACAGTTACTAAAAATTGGAGAAGAACCCATTTGAAGCCGATTCAGATGAATCGAATTCCAGAACAACTAGAGGAAACCACCAATTGAACTTCTTCACAGCTTCACATCACTTCCCAATCCCGCAAAGCATGCGGGCGTCGCTACCATCCAAAAATTTAACCGAACTGACCTTGCGAGCGGTACTCGGCGGCTTTCTGGCGGAAATCGGAGGCGACGATGCTGGCGGCCTGCGTCTTGGCCTGGGAGGCGGCGGCGAGGTTGTACAGATGCGCGACGCTCCGGGAATTGTACTCGAAGTCGGGGACCTCCTTGCCGGCGGCCTCAAACTGGGAGGCCAGCCACGCCTTCACCTCCGAGATCCTGGCGGCGTCCGACCCGCCGCCCTTCGGCTCGCCCGCCGCCGGCGCATCCGCCGCTCCAGATTTCGCATCGCCCATCTCCCGCTTTGCTCAGCCGTCGCCGTCGATTGCGCAGACCAACTCTGAAGAATGCGGAGGAGGAAGACGGGAACGACTGCGAGAGCATTGCGATCGAAGCTTTTGAATTGAGTTTTTGTAGCGTTTGTTGCAGGCGGGCCAAATTGAAAATGATGGACGAGATTATTTAAAATAAAGTGGTTGGGGGGTAGAAAATGTAAATTTTGGAAAGTAGAGGGTGCTAGAGTGTAATTTGAGGTAAAGTTTTGATAGGGTCCTGCAAAAGTGTTTTATGTATAAGTTATATCGAGTGGTATGTTAATATGGTGTCGGTAGAACAATCACAGCTCTTCCATTTCGCCGGCACGATAATCAGCCAGTTTTGTAATTTTTGAATTTGAAAAGAAATATCATTAGCTTGATAATACTAAGTCGGTACGGCACGTGATATCGGTAATGCTTAACAGATTTTCTCGGCTTCTTTCTCCTCATCCTCACAGCCAACAGAAAGTATATTTGAAATCCTACCCAAGGAATAAAGATGAAAGAAGCCAAAGGGAGGATTGGAATCCAAGCAAGACATTTCCATCTCTATATAGAGAAAATATGCCATGCCCATCACTCAACTTCCTCTTCATGCTTCTTACATGCAATAGGAAAAAGAATACCAAAGTGAATATCAAAATAGACAAATAAATTAATATAAAGTACCAAAGTGCAGCTTTCCAATCTGATAGTGTTGAGAGCCTGAGACACTCACGTTTTTACTGCCTTAGGCAGTGTCATGGCCATGCAAAAGCAAAGATCCTTCCTCAGATAGGTGGTCATGAACTAGAAGAAACCTCAATATTCTCTCATTCTTCCCTCTATCATACTACAAATACAAGCAATAATGGCATCTTTAACAATAAAATTAGTCCATAGTCTGTTTACATTCTTCAACAATATCCCAATTGTTAAATTGGTGATTATGATGCAGCATCCCCAATCCAATTCTGTGTTTCTGCAGTGGAAGATGCAACTTGGCACGAGCCAGCCCCGCATTTGCCTCAGACGGTCGCAGAAGATTCGTTGTGCCAATTCACAGCGCCATCATCAGTCCATATCTCAGTTTCCTCCAATGAATCAGGTCGCATTTCATTGCAGAGATTTTGATGAAAGCCCTGTTTTGGCTCTATTTTTTCTGGGGTTTTCTGTTTCAATATTAGGCAAAAACTACTATAGGAATGTGTTCTGATGGCCTCTTCGATTTTCTGTAAAGCAGAGAAAGCATATGAACAATATATGTCTATATTCAGAAAAGGTGAAAGATTGAAAATGGAACACAATTCTTGAAAACGTTCCACTGAAAATGAAAATGCGAAATGACTTTCTTGCAAATCAAACTCTAACTCAGTATATATGTGTGTGGTTAGAGTGTTGCGGCGATTATACTCGGGGATGGCTCAGAATCAAGACTGTATCCTTTGACGAAGAGGAGATCAGAAGGGGCGATACCGATAGCGGCCAATTACAGGCTCATCGATGCAGTAGTGAGCAACTGCATCAACAGTGGCATAAGCAAAATATACGCTCTCACCCAATTCAATTCCACGTCCCTGAACTCGCACCTCTTGAGGGCTTATTCCGGGGCTGGCCTCGGGAAGGAAGGCTTCGTTGAAGTGATCGCCGCGTATCAAAGCCTCGAAGACCAGGGCTGGTTTCAGGTCTGGCAGTGTAACCTTTTTAGTCATACTAACATCCTATTGCAATCTATGACATCATATTGATGTAACATGGAAATTAGAGAGTACTCCTATGTTTGCTTTTGGTTCAAAATGACAAAAAAAATGTTAAACTACAATTCGATCCAATGTACTATAATTGGATCGCTTATCCAAGTTAATTTCCTATGATTCTAAAGCTCAAACTCTAATTTGTACACCTCCATTGTCCCTAACTGTTAGTCTTCATTTGTTTTAGCTGTTATGGCTTTTCGTATCTTTTACTGAAGTTTCTGTTATTTCTAAATTCAGGGGAATGCTGATGCTGTGAGGAGATGTCTGTGGGTGCTTGAAGAGTATCCAGTCACCGAATTTCTGGTCCTTCCAGGCCACCATCTTTACCAGATGGACTACAGGGAACTCGTGGAGTTGCATTGGAGAAGCGAGGCCGATATAACCGTCGCAGTCCTGAATGCTATTTGGGACCAAGACCCAGGTTTTGGCTCTTTGAAGATAACTGATGAGAATAGAGTGGTAGAGCTCAAAGATAAGTCTACTGGAAATCCCAAATGTCAAAACACATTTGATTGCCATTGGTTCTCAAGCATGGGAATATATCTCATCAACAGAGATGTCATGATAAAGCTTCTAAAAGAGAGTTTCCCTGGCGCAAACGACTTTTCCAGTGAAGTAATACGAGGCGCGATATCCACTGGAATGAAGGTCGCGCCGGGTTTCACGAATTGTTTTGTTTGAGATTTTATCGGTCCCTCTTTTCGCTGCATTTAGGAGAGTTTATGTTTCTCTGAGAAATTGTCAGGTTATGGCATATCCATTCGATGGATATTGGGAGGACATGAGAAGCATTGGAGCGTTTTACCGAGCGAATATGGAGAGCACAAGGAAATGCAACAGGGGATACGAGTAAGAGTCACATTGCCCATAGATTTTTCATGAAAATGCTTCACCTTGCTCTTAAGTTTTTTTCGCCGACAGTCGAACAAATCACGGCTTTTATCTTACAGTTTCTTCAAAAGGGATTCTCTCGTGTACACTTTGCCTCGGTGTCTGCCTCCGAGCGTCGTGACAGATTCATTAGTCACAGACAGTGTTATTGGAGACGGATGCATACTCAATGTAAGAAGTCCTTTGGTTCTCAGAACAAATTGAATTAAAAGTTTCTCCTGATCCTTGCCCTGACATAGATCGACAAAATCTGAAGTCTTTCAGTGAAAAAATGCATCATAAGTCTGCAATGCTGCATCTGATTATGATAGCTTCTTCGACTGTATCAGGGATTTAAAGTCAGCCCCTTTATGCAGCTCACTCATTTTGGATTTTTACTTCTGTTATATGTACAAGAGTAGAGATGCAAAATCACAGGAGCTGTAGTTGGTATGAGGACAAGGATTGAAGATGGGGCTATAATCGAGGACTCAATTATCATGGGGTCCGACGTCTATGAAGTAAGAGGCATCCGCGCTTTGAGTTGTCGAATTTCCACGTGTATAGCAAATATGCGAAGTACTAACCATCCATGTCTCTGTGAGAATCTATTTGAACCATTCGGTTTGGTTGCATCTTATGCGTTGAAATGACCAGCATTCTTAAGCAACATCTGATTAGTTCACACAAGACCGATGCAAACACTTGCTTTGTTAACTTTGGTTCAATATCGAACTGTGATTTCGCCGGTAACTGTCATACTGACAATGATGATGATGATGTAACTACCTCAACATGACAGATGGAAGTTCCACAGAATTCTGTGGACAGGAAATGCATGAGCATACCAATCGGCATCGGGGGAAAAACGCGCATAAGGACAGCTATTGTTGATAAGAATGCGAGGATCGGCAAAAATGTGGCGGTAAGCAAAACAGCAAGAAGTTCTATTATCGTTCTTGTGAGAAGGAAAATGAAATTCTATTGCTAAGAAGTGGATTTCAGATACTCTCAGAACATCTTTTGCTAGCAAGTCGATTTTTCTGATACTTAGATTGAATTCATTCAAGAAACAATGGCGATCGTCCCTCTTTTTCACTTGAACAAATGATGATACCCTGCAATCTGAGTCGTTGCATACCTTCCATGTACTCACAAGAATTACTGATGAAGACCCGGAAACTGTCGTCCAGAAGAATTGAACTTTTGAGCTTGTATTTGTAGATTGTTAATTCAGACAACGTTAAAGAAGGCGACAGAGAAGACCAAGGATATGTGATTCGCGATGGAATAGTGGTTGTTCTTCACAGCGCGGTTATTCCCGATGGCAGTATTTTGTGACCCGTGGATGATGAACTATTATTATCTGCAAGTTTCTCCATGACCATTGAGATCTCAGAAAGTGCAAAATTTACTTCTTCTACAGAGGCACATTGCTCTCTGTAAGGGAACCATTTCAATTTTCACTGTCTATTAATCAGAATGAAATGTTTATCACTAAAGCCATGTCTACTTTGTCCAGGAATAAATTTTCATTGCAAATGATGATCCACAAACATCTAATACATCCCTATCTTGATGGATACAAAGTTCCCAAAGCGTCTTTTGATTGAAACGCACGATAGAACACCAATACTGTACCGTTGGGAGCTCACAAAAAGGAAGCTCAAATTGAATATGATTAAGATATTTAGTTGGATCTAACTTCACTCAAAAGTTAAGCCATTGATTAATTGATCGCCTACATATTTTAACAGCTCGATGCCACATGAATTCTCTATTGTGGGAGCTCCATTTCGATAAAATTTTTGCACGTGCACCTCAATAAATCTCTCATCAATAAATCTCTCATCGCGGGCAAGACTTCCATTAGGCGAACTCCTTCCTAGTCCAGAGTCAAGAATCCACTTGCAGCAACACATCTTCAACCAAATTTCATCATCCCTTAGCACCCATCATCGCCAAACGCTACACCTATAATGACATATGAACTGGACTAGTAGCTGTGCGAATGTAGGGATGGGCACGGGGGATGGCAGGGATCGCGTTCTCCGTACCCGTCCCGTGGGCTAAAAACCTACCGCAACCCATGCTAAAACCTACGGCCTAAAATTGGTTATTCCCATGGGGATTAGTCCGGTTTCCGGTTCCAATTTACTAGAACCGGTGAGCACCGGTCCGGTTCCCGGTTCTAGACATGGAACCGTTCACTCGGACCGGACTCCTAATATATAAAAATATATAATTTTTAAGAAAAATTTCCAACCAAAAAAAAAAAACATTCTAAGAAAAATGAAAATCCAAAAATTCCTAATCTGAAGCTCAACGCCTATCAATTAAGTGCTCGTCTCATCTCCATCTGACTTTGTCTGATCTCTCACTCATGGTCTTGACTCTCAAGGTCAACGCTCATTGACTCACAGTCAGGATTCTTAATTCCCATTAACTCACGACCTCATCTCTGACCGTTCATTGCCTCCCTCTCTTGCTCTCGGTCACCTCCATTTGCGTGAAGCTTGGTGGGACCGGTTCCCGAGTGGATCCATGGAACCAACAAGCGGTTCCCGGTTTCAATTTTTCGGAACCAATCCTTAGTGGGCGGTTCCCGGTTTCATGATGAGAATCGCCCACCCGGACCATGCTCGCCCCTATCAGTGGGTCAAGTCTAGTTCCGGGCCTAAAAAGTAAAAACCACAGCAACCTCCCGAGCATTAAAAACATCAGGTTTCCAATTTAAATCGATCGGGTCTAGGCAGGCTGGACGGGTACACGGCACGATTCGAAAATGGAATTGCTTGACCGCCAGTTTTGTCCATCGTGCTGACCAAATCCAGGTGGGGGCACATAATGCCGCCCATCCAATGATCACCTCTATTGTCACAATCAAATAAGTGACGGGGCACTGACAATGTGGAAAACCGACACGCAACACCGCGTTGGCGTGGCAAAACGATTTGAAAATAAACGAAGGAGAGAGAAGGGGAAGTGGGGTTCGGTTCGCTAGGGATGGTGCCCTAAGTAGATGGATTAATGTCTATCGAGGCTTCAGTCTTTGGAAGCATTCATGCACTTTTGAATTGCATGTTGCAAAGTGAATATCGTGGGCGCATTCAGTTCACGAACTAAAGTTTTCGCAGCACGAAAAGCGGTCATAGCACGTATACATTATCAAATAAGTTGTTGGTGTTCAAACTTCAAACCCTAGGCTAGTTGCATTATAAAATTTAATGAGTAAAAGATAGCTCCGTACGAGGAATTTTGCTGCTCCTCTTCTTTTCTTTTCTTTTCTTATCCTTCTTTTTTTTTCAATTTTGCGTTTTTTTATATTCTTCCACGAGCAAATCAGATGAGGAGGAGGTGGTCCACATGAAATGAATTGGCCCCCATTGTTCACTTGCTTTGTCTCCTATATTTCTTATTTATTTATAGGTCCACTTGTCTCGTAAATCATTCATGACACGCAAAAGCTAAGTTCATTGAATGCTGCAAATTCTCTTTTTCATATTCGTTAAGATTATCCTTACGAAAGAAATAGGTAGTTGGTAAATTCCAAATTGGTCCCGAACTTAAAGCGCTCTTCAGGAGAAATAAAAGTTAGTCGCATCAGATTCTTGTTCTTGAGTCTAGCGGAAGCAATTCCAATTAAGTAGATTGCCTTGTGGAATGGAATTCACTCCACGGATTGGGTCAAGATTGCAAAACAAAAAAGAAAGGGAGAATTTGGAACTCAAATCATTAACGACATTGACAAATAATACAAGCAAGGATGATGCAATAGGGCCTACTCGTTACGATCCAAGCGGTGTCGGACGTCCAATTTAGGGATTGGAATCCCTTTGAAGCGGGGTTCGTTGCCGGTGAAAATAATGGCTGGCCGACGATTATGTGCACATCGCTTACACATTTGATACCTTTCCTAGGGGTATTTTGATCCAATTGACTTTACCCCATAGTTCTCACACATAGAAATCGTTTAGCCGGGTCCGCTTCAATCCACAACACGACATTCTCATTTCGGCTCTCCTCCCGCATTCGCAGTGATCATCCATCTCAAATTTTTTGGTCTGTGGTTGAGAAACCTTAGCCATTTTCTTTATGATCCGTAAATGCGAGGCAAGTTCAATGCTTTCTTGAACGATTTTTACGTACACGTGAGTGGCACGGGAGAAATGTGTTTTTCTTTTTAAAAAATAGATTGCCACCGGAAAAGGCGCGAAACATGCACGTGTACATTGGCCGGCCGTTATTTTCGACGGCGATGAGCCTGGGAGGGTTACTTGGTCGAAGTGATCGAGTTCATGGGCTATTTTGGACTAAGATCGAGTCTAGGTGCATGGAACTTTGAGAAACAAACGCCACTTAACGGGTTTATTAAATCAAAGTGATCAAGTTTGTAAGATATTTTAAAACAGAATCAAATCGTCCGGAAAACTTTAGAAAAAAAAAGGCTCCACTTTCCCAAAATGGCCGAAACACAGCAGTTAGAGTGAACTGATTGGATTCGACCGTGACTCCTGTAAGTTTATAAAAATTGCAAAGCAAGCTTTGATTCTTGGAAAAACCAGGGGAAGTCGGAGGTGCAGAGCTTTCTCAAAGATGAAGAGAACAATCGCAAAATGGAGCCAGGCAAGGGTCATTCGGAGCTCGTGCTTTCGATATTCGGATCCAAGCCATTGCCGAGGCCGCCGAGGGTCGTTTCATCGCCTCCAATCTCACAGGTCATCCATTATTTTATCAGCGCTGAGATTACGCATCGAACACAAATCACAGATATAAGAATTGCATGTAGTACTCAATCTTGAGTTCAGAACTATGAAAATAGTGAATGAGTTTTGAACTATGAAAATTCAGTATCCATGATTGGCGTTGACAATGCGACACCATCAAATAAGTGACGGGGCATTGACAATGCGGCATAATCGACACGTGACACTGGATTGGCGTTGCAAAACGATTTAAAAATAAACAAAGGAGAGAGAAGGGAAAGAGGGGTCGGTTCGCTAAGGATGCTGCCCTGAGTTAATGAGAAATGTTTATTAAGGATTCAATCCTTGGAAGCATTCATGCACTTTTGAATTAAATGTTGCAAAGTGGACATTGTGGGTGCATTCAGTTCATAAGCCAAAGTTTTCGCAACGCAAAAAGCGGCCATAGCACGCGTACATTATCAAAAATAGTTGTAAGTGCTCGAACTTCAAACCCTAGACTAGTTGCATTATAAAATTTATTGTGCAAAAGCTAGTTTGTACGAGGAACTAGTTCTCTTTTTCGTTTTCTTTTTTTCAAATTTTCATTTTTATATTCTTCCCTAAGCAAACTAGATGAGGAAGTGCTGGTCCACGCATGAAATGAAATGGCCCCCACTTTCACTTCCTTTGTCTCGTATAATTTTCAATTCATTCATGGGTCCACTTTGTGGTCATGTGCCATTGTCTACAGGTCTCCAGGCTACAGCTGTTTAGGGTGCTTAATATGTGTATAGAATAGTTGAATTTCAAAATATAATTGCCCATGACACGCAAGAAAATAAGTGCATTGAATATTGTAAATTTTCCTTTTGGTATTCGTTAAGACTATCCTTATAAAAATATATAGGTAGTTTGTAAATTCCAAGTTGGTCGCGAAATGTACAGCATTCTTTATGAGGAATAAATATTAGTCGCACCAGATTCATGTGCTTGAGTCGAGTAGAAGCAATTCCAATTAAGTCAATTGCCTTGTGGATTCGAATTCACTCAACGGGTTGGGTCAAGATGGCCAAAAATAAAAGGTAAAGACATCAAGAAATCAAATCATCCAAGACATCCATAAAACATCCGAGGAAGAATAAGAGGCAACAGGGCCTACTGGCTTTGATTCGAGCGGTGCACGTCCACTTTTGGAATCCCCCTGCAGTGGTGTCCGTTTTCAAAATCCCCCTTAAATTTGGCTTTATTTCAAAATACTCTATGAACTTTGATCATTTTGACCCGATCATCCCCTTGAACTTGATCACTTTGACTCAATAACCCTTAAATTCATTATAGGTGAAAATAATGGCCGGCCGACAAACATGTGATTGTCACGTGCACGTATCGCACCTTTACTAGGGGTATTTTGGTCCAAGAACTATCGTAACTTAAAAATTGAAATTAAAAAATGCTCAATTGACTTTACCCTGTAATTCTCACGTACAAAAAGCACCTAGCTAGGTTTAGTTCGGTTCACGACATGACATACTCATTACAGCTCTCATCCTGCATTGTTTTCTTTTGAGTGCAAATAAAATGAGAAAAACCTTAAACGAGAGACTTGCTATGATGAAGTCCCGAATGTTCCATTTGTTCCACCTATCTGCAATGGAGATAAATGTCATATTTTTTGCTTAGTTTGAATTGTATCACTGCTCTCTAATATGATTTAGGGGACAACAAAATGCATAGGAGGAATAGTGGGGACTGTTTATATACATGATAAGATGGCTCCTTACTTGTTTGTTAGAAGGCGGTATTTATTCAAAAACCCAATAAGGAAAAAGAATCGTGAATCAACCAT